CACTGAATTCATCATCCGTTGTTGTTTACAGCAGCCCTTTCAACACGGTGCAAGATGATACAGATCATAATTTTCTTGCTGTTCCAACCAGCTGACTTGTCTGGTCATCATTTGCATCCCAAATATTTCACATGACTCCCCATGAAAACTTACAGGATCAGCTCTTAGACAGTTACACAAACACTCAGTCTGGAGTTGTGGTCTGTAATCATTGAGTTGTTACTGATGACATTCAGCAATTTCCTTCAGGATCAATAAAGTTCTAGCTTATCTAATCTTATCTTATTATTGCTAATTGAAACAAAAAGCTTACATTTTTTGTTTGTTGATTTTTTTTGTTTTTCTTAAATCTGTAATACGCATTATTGCTTTTGTCAGGGAAATTCAAGAAAAGGTCATGGATGTTATCACTGACCAATGTTGAGCTTAACACACAGGTGGCTGCCCCCCCCCCCCCCCCCCCCCCCATCACTGCACCCTGTATTTACTGGTTAACTGGACATCATTAACTTCATGCACTCTCCCACTGGTGCATTTTCATCTTTAAATCACTTGGCTTGCTGCCTTCATACATCTCCTCCTAATGTCTCTGAATGAGTACAGCTACAGCGTGCGCTCTCAGGACATTATTACATGCAGTGTTCCCTCACTGCATTCTGAACCTGGCAAAAGGGCCTTCTCCTACTCCGCTCCTGTTTCCTGGAATATCTTACAAAAAAATCTCAATCTCTCGACCTTGACCTCTCTAAGTGGCTTAAGCAGCTGTTGGACTCCTGGCAAGAACCATTGCAGGCATGTTCCTGTTTTTAGTTTTCTACATTCGCCTAATAATTTAGCTGTTTTTTGCTACTTTTTTGCCATCTTATTTTAATATGTAAAAAAAAAAATCTGTATACCTCTTTTAGGATTGTCTATTGTTGTCGTTGATGTCCATTGTTGTCATCACTCTTTGTTGAAATCAGATCTCTCTTGTAAATAAGTCCCCGAGGCTCAATGGGATTAACCTGTCTAAATAAAGGTTGAATGAAAAGATGATGCAAGTACCAGAGAGACTGCATAGACCGGAGAAACTACAGCTGTCACAGAGACCAAGGAGGCTACAGATAATGATGAGGAGATCCCAGGGGTATGAAGAGGCATAGCAACATCAGAGGATATAGCCACCTCAAGCAGTGTGGACACCTCAGGAAATGGCATGGACACCTCAGGAAACGGTGTGGAACCCACAGGAAGTATGGAACCTTCACTAGGTGTGGAACCCTTGGGAGGCATGGAACTCACAAGAAGCGTGGCACCTTTGTGAGACATTGAACCCTCTGGAGTTGTGTGGAACCCACAAGAAGTACGGGAGCCTCACGTGGTGTGGAACCCTCGGTAGGTGTGGAACTCACCAAAAGCAAGGCACCCTCATGAGGTGTGTAACCCTCAGGAAGTCTGTAACCCTCATAAGTCATTGAACCCTCAGGAGGCATGGAACCCTCAGGAGGCATGGAACTCACAGGGAGAAATGGAGGTGGTTTGTCGCCAAGTAGCCCTGGGCCCATAGGAGAGTCTGGGCCCACAGTGGGCCCACAGGAGACTCAGGAGACGTGAAGGCTTCAGGAGACTTTGGAACCACAGGTGACTCAGAACCCACATAAGGCAAGGAGTAGTGAGTGGAGTCCTCCAGGACCCTCTCGGAGGATGAGTGAGAGGTGTCCTCCTGGATCCCCTTTGAGGATGAGTGAGAGGCATCTTCCAAGACCAATTCAGAGGATGAGTGCGAGGTGTCCTCCAGGACCATCTTGAAGACACAAGGAGCAGGTGGTTCAGGTAGATTCTGAGGTGACACAGCAGAGTTGGTGATAATTGGGCATTTGTACTGTTCCTTAAAATCCTTAATTTGACAAGTAGATGAGTCCGGATTGAGACAATAATAGTCTTTCAGTGAGGAAGTAGGTAGTGTTCAAATTTCTCCTCAAGGATATGTAAATCATGAAGCTCTGCTCTGCCCCACTCCTTGGAGAGTATATGTGGACCCTTATCAGAGCTGAACCAGCTGATAGACACTGTGCCATCTTTATCAGGTCTATGGTACTTTCTGGTAGCATTCACAGACAATATCACTGCCTTTGTCCCCACCCACCCTCAAAATGTTTTATGTCGATCTATGTTGCTTGGTACTGAGGTAGTTGTTTTGCTACCTTACACTGTGCCCTGTGTGTCAAGGACACAGTGAGAGATGTATTTTTTTTAAACCTTCTTTCCTCATGTTTTTCTTTCCTTTACTTATCTAAGCGATAATAGCAGAACTTCACAACTAAGCTACAGCCTCTGGCACGTCCATCGACCCTTGTTAAATGGCTGCACCTACATGTATTTTTGCTACGCTTATCTGTTCAATGACAATAAAGTTGATTCTGATTCTCCTGTTAATCAAGTGGAATGGATTAATTCACAAAGCAATAGAAGAGCGGCTTTGGATGTTATCAGTCCATTAAATAAATAAATTGTATGTAGCGGTCAAACTGTCCCACCTACCTCCTAGTAGGTTTAAAGGTACATTATTATTGTTATTATTGCTGATAAGAGGCAGCGTGGCATGGCGGTAAACCAGGAAGGGTCTTTTTTGTTTTTTTTCCAGCTTATGTAACCCTTTTCCTAAACGTAAGCTTACACCTAACCCTGAGGACCATCCCTAAACTTTACCCCCTTACCCTTGTGCCTAAACCTAACTGCCAGATCCTTTACTCTAAACCTAACCATGTGAAGCTATTATGAGTGCTAACAAAGGTAAAAACAAAGCCTATTATCATCGCTAACAACGAACATTTAAACACACTAGGAGGTACAGGAGGGGCAGTCTGACTGCTACATATGGAGATAACAACTAATAATGGTCATTTAATGGCTGATAACATCCGAAGCGGGTGAATAGAAACAGTGTTGGGTGAACTAGAAATTAATGGTAAATGTGTGTGTGCGTGTGTGTGTGTGTGTGGGGGGGGGGTCTAAACAAAAGTTTTTTTATATGTGAGGGAGACACGACCCCTTCACCCTTTACAAATAGTTTAACATGACGCTGATGCTCCCAGCTCACTCCACAATAAATTTTTGTGTGATGGTGAAGTTTTCTGTCAGACTAGAATTCCTGTACATGTGTCAACATACGTAGCTGTCAGGGGGATTTTAGTCAAGGTTTACAGAATTTTAGTGTTAAATTAATGTTGAACCATGTGTATGAGCTACCAGAGTACTCTTTTCCCTCACAGAGAGTAGCGCTTATTTGATCCTGCATGTACAGCTGGGAGACTGAGGTCATCATTTTCTATGAGCTGTGACAGCTGATAAGCGTAGATATAAACAATTCTCGCACACTGCCCAGTGAAGATTCTCATGTCCCGACTCCAATAATGTAGAACTTTTGTGCAGCTGTGTAAGCCTGAGAGTGAAAGTCTGCCCTTGCAAGTAAAACCCGTTATGATATCTACTCATGTCCTCGAGTGTGGCTTCTTTGAGTAAGTAAGAAGAATAGAAGATATTTTTAACCAACATTAGCACATTTTTGAACACATTAGCACATTTTTGAACATTTTTAAAACTTAACCAACAAGACTGAGTACTTCAGAAAATCATGGAAGGAAATTGAGAACTTTTGCAAATGCTTTGAGAAATTATAAAGATTTACTCCCAATTTGTGTTTGCAAACCAGCTGTTAACAGTAACATCATAGAGAGATACTTGTTCTCTGTTGTCTTTTTGTACAGAGAAAGTCATAATGGAATTATTGCAGTTATTCTCATAATTTCTGTCACTGAGTGTAGTTTGCTTCCTGGTATCACAATTCCCTTTGGGTTTAGGTTTATACCATAAATCATATGTTGTCTGATAACAAAAAACAAAAGTGTCTCAAGATTTCCAAAAAGTTTCCATATTTTAACAAAAGTATTTTGTTTTACATATTTTTTTTTTCATTTGTAGTATTTTGATGGCACAGTGGCGCAGTAGTTAATGCTCATAGTAAAAAGACAACCCAGCAGGGGGTTGACTCGGGCATTTACGTATATGGAGTTTGCAGGACTGCAGTTTCTAAGCTACTCCAGTTTACACTCAGACCACAAAAAAGCATGTTAGGTTAATTTGTGACTAAATTATTGTTGGTGTTATTGAGAGTTTGACTAGTTGTCTGCATCGTAGGTCTGTTTATGAATGTGTGATGTGTTCAGGGTGCACCATACCTGGAGGTTTCCACAGTCATGATACACCTGATGGTGATAGGCACGAGCTTCCCCTGCAAGCCTGTATGTTTGGTATGGTATAAAGTTTATTCATTTTAAAAAAGTACAAAACAATTCGATAACTCTATAAAAAAAGATACAAAAGATTTAAAATGAAAGGCAGCAGAAAGAAGAAAAAAATCTTATTATATCTGTCCCTTTTTTCAAACAATTATTTCAATCATAATAATTTTCAAGTAACAGAACAAAATGAATAACTCTTTCTAAATTTTCTAATTTTTCTAATTCTAATACAAAACGCAAACTAAGCTACTTCATATATACTTTGTGGTATGTAAAATGGATTGATAGATTTGTGTCAAGTAAAAAAAAAAAAACATTGGTTAACATTGTTGGTATGTAGACCATTAACCAAAAGGTTTTATAAAAAATTAATATTTAAAAAACACTTGCACAAGTCTAAACAATTTTCAGTGTTCAAGACAAAAAAAAAATCTGTTGTAGATCTGGTTCTTTTATCTTTTGTCTGTAAAAATGCAACAAAACAAGTATGAAATTACTACAAAAGAATGTAGGTGGCCACTTCTCTGGTTAGATTTTTTTAGATAAAGCCACAGGGTGAGGCTAACTACAATAAAAGGCAAAGGACCAACACAACCAACTTATTGGACTGTCAGGCCCTCTGGTTGAGACGCTTCACACTTTCTAAGGTAAAAACAAACTTTGGCTTTTAGATTTACAAAAAAAAAAAAACTTTAATAAGACTAACCTAAAGCTACAAACTGTATATTGAAGTACAAGTATTGACAATGGACATGGCATATTTGTGTTTTTTTGTTTATTTAGATCTACATCTGAACTCTGCCATTATGACCAAGAAGGTAAAAGTTATACATTTAAAATACCTTACTGCTTAATTTGTACAAGATGAACTGTACCGTTGCACACATATATACATATATGTACAAATATGTTTATTTATTTGTTTTTGTAGCTTGAACTTATATTTGCTGCAATTCTGCTACTTGGTATGTTCACCACAGCAACTAAAGAAAAAATTTTCAGTTTAACATATTATTTTTAATCATCAAAAATTCACTAACTAACATATTTATTACATTTACCAGGCTATGTGGGACTAAGTCATCAAGGTAAAACACACTAACTTGTTTTTTTTTTTTTTTCAAAGCCTTAAACCTGCTGTTTAAATCTTTCTGGTGTTTAAAAGTGCTTAAATAGACTATTTCAACATGATCTCTACTGTTCTAAATTTGCTCATTTTTGCTCCTGAAGCATGCTGGACCAAGTGGTTTAATCGAGATACCCCTGATAAAACTGGTGACTGGGAGGATATGGATGACCTGAGGAGAGAAAACCCAGGACAAATTTGCGACAATCCTTTGGGTATCCAGGTCGTTACTGTAGACAATGAGACACCAGCTCAACAGACAGGGCAAACATTCTACGTGTAAGTTTTATTTAAAAAGTAAAAAAAAAAAAAAAATGTGATAAACTGCCAAACTCAGTTTTCCATCTTCAGATTGTAATGATGCACTGATGTCTTAAATCTCTTCTTACACAGTCACTTAAAG